GCACAAGCAGACAAGGAGTTAATGTAGCTCCTGTGATTATGGCAGCCACAGTGAGAAGCCCAAATTTGGGCTGGATGACCCACCTTTCCAGGCTATATTTGGCCATGGCAAAGTATTAGACAGTTCCATTTTAAAGGATCCTTGACTGCAATCTCTTTAGTACTTGTAGATTAAACAGTACCTAAAGACTTTTTAGTTGTAAAAAAAGGCTGCAGACTAAATCCGATTTCATAACTTCATTACAAAGGAAAACTGAAAAGGATTAAGTGCCTGTAAACGTATACACTGAAGTAGCTATTAGCAACTCTTTTGATAGCTTCTGTGTACAGCAGGGGAGCTACTGCCAGATTTCCAAAACTAGGTGGGGGGAGCCTCCACCAGCCAGACAGCACCCAATTTCGGTGCATAGCCCAGTCTGGAAATGAAGGGGCAGGAAGATCAGTGTAGGGCTTCACCCATCCTGCAGACTGGTCCCACACCACTCATCTGGCTTACATGTTCAGAACACTGAGCACCACTGGATTAAAGAAGTGATCCCTGCCACCAAAAGCTTAACACAGAAACGCAGATACAGACAAGACTAGAGCATACAAGCAGAGTAAAGACATGTAAACACCAGGTTAGTTTCCTGCTCTTGTTGGTTTATTATTTAAATATTATCCAAATGCCCATCAAGAATGCCCCGGGCCTGCTCCCCCCCTTCCCTCCTGATGCTTGAGGTCCAGGCCCACTCATCCCCTCCCCACCACGATGGTGGGGGGGAGGGGAGGAGGGGGCCTGGGCCCAATACAGGGGAGAACCAGGCCTGAGGGTGGGGAAGAAGCCAGGCCACTGGGGGGAGGCAACGGGGGAGGGACATGAACACAACAGGCCCAGGCCAACCCGACAGCAGTGGGGGGACAGGAGGAACAGGCTCAGGGCCAATGCGGTGGGGAAGGAGGTGTGGGGGAGGAGTAGGCCTGGGTCCAAGGGAGCAGAGAAAGCCTGCTCCTCCCTTCCCCCAAATCGCTGATATGTCAGGCCACATTAGCCCAGGCCTGCTGCTCTCCCCACTACCGCTGTGGCGAGCCAGCTTCTCCCCTAGCTCGGGCTTGCTCCCCCTCCCCTCCACCCACCTTGGGCCCGGCCCAGGCCCACTCCTCCCCTGCCAGCACTGCCTCATAGGCCCTGCAGGTGGTGATGACAGAAGGGGGAGGGGCAGGCTGAAGCCAACACTGGTGGCCTTGCATCCTCCGGGGCATCCTGAACCTGCTCCCCCCGGCACTGCCATCACCTCCAAGAAGCAAGGGCCACCCCCCTCCAAGGCCAGCCCTGGTGGCTTCCCCCATCCCCCGTTCCATCTGCTCCACTGCTGCCGCATCCAGGGAGCAGGGCGTGACGCCAGCTGTACTGGCCTCTCCCCCACCCCTTCCCCTGTGTCCCCACCATCATGGCAGTGCGTTGCTACCTGTCTAAACGCTTCTTTGCACTCATATTGATCGTGTGTCAGCCAATCAGAGTGCGAATAAAGCATTATAGACAGGCAGACAGACCAACTGACCAAGGCTTTTATAAATAGAAAATTTTTGGTTGGGGACTTGAGGGAAGAAGGCAAAGGGCACCCAGTATCTTTCATAGATACATGGGAGCCTAGAAAGGTGGGAAAGAAGGAGCCCCACATCTTGCTTCACAGAGAACTATTACAGTTTAGTGTCTGCCCTGTTTAGGGGATACTATCTGAGTTTTACAACAGCCAAGTCCACATACTGTAGTCTTTTCTTAGACTGAGGCTCATATTGATGCAAGAACTACTATATGCTGACTTTTTTTAAAGTGTGCTTTATCTTGGCAGTTCAAAAATAAAAAGGAAATAATTTGCAGCTATCATGAGGTTATTCTTATACACTTAACTGTATTTTTAATAGTACCAGTGCAATAGGTGCTAACTTTTTAACATAAGCAATACAAACTAACTAGATACAAAGTCACCTTTTGTAACCCACAATATTACTAACCTGGACATTTCTAGTTTTCCTTCTGTATGGTGTTCCAGTTTTGTGAGCTCAGGCTGAAGAAAAGTATCCAATAAGTAAAAGGCAAAATTTATTTCCTCAGATGAAGGAACATGCCACTGGATATCCAGGTTCCACAAGTCGCCTGGTTTACCCCAGTCCTATACAAACAGAAGCAGAACATTTCTCCATTTAGCAAGCTATAAAGCAAAACACTTGTTTAAAAAGTATTTAAATGAATACTTATTTCCAAACACAAAAAACTGTTCCTTTAAAAATAACAAACCACTCCTAAATATGAATTTAAGTGGTTTTGAAAGACTGAAGTATAGCTGTCAACCCAAGACAAGCTTGAAATGAATAATTAGCTGAAGACTTCTGCATCTGCATCAAGACAATCTTCCCACCCAAAGACAGGGAAACTGCTCAGTTATGACTTCAATTTTTGATCTTTCCAGCAAAGATCAGAAAAACCTTAGACTGAAATCTGGTAAGATGGTTATCATTTTGAGCTACAATCATGAAATTGGGTATCCTTATTCAGCACACAATTAAAGCCTCTACAAATTTTAAGTTAACCATTTCATGCTGCATCTGGCTAGCACGGTTCTCCGTAAGTTAACAATGTACCTCTTATTTCTTGATTTCTGTAAAGCAGAGCTCATTACACTATAGAATCTGCAAATTTGGAGTGCACAGACAAATGCTTAAAAGTAAGCAAATTAACAGAGACTGGAGACTTGCCATAGAACATCTGATATGTAGTTACTCTTCTTGTGGCTGTAATCATCCCATGACAGAATCGTAACAAAATAGGACTCAAAGAGATCTTCAGAAGTGATCTACAGTCTATGCCTTCTGGCCAGAGGCAGAACCATCCCTATCCAACCTGTCCTACACAAATCTATCACCTAACCTATTAGCAAGGCTACACAGTCACCTCTGACACAACCACAAGACATAACACCCTAACCTGCCACAGGTTAGGCAGGGGGAAAATATCAGCCTATTTCCTGCTGCTGCAAGGGCTGTTAAATATTGAATAAATGAACACTAAATCAGAACAACTTAGACCTGTTACTTTCATGGCTGAGTTCTCCTACTTAACAGATACTGAACATCAGAAATTCTGCGTTTAGTCTCCAACCACTGAATTTAGTGTGATTATCTGTTCATGCTCTGAGATATTCAGAGGAAATACAGATGTGAAATGAGCTAGTAAATAAGCACACTCTTCACTGCTTATGAGGGCGAGAGCTGCAAATTAGCTATGGTTGTATCATCCGAGTCTGCTTGCCAGCTGCCTCTGTATCCACTGTCCTCCTCTAATACTATGCAGTGCTCCATGAATAAGATCTTACCAATATTTATAAAAATGTTAATTTAGCAGACCCTGGAAATAAATCAATCTAGTACAAGGAACAAAGTGAAGACTACAATTGTACAAAGTAGTCTGCTGCTAATTTGCCATCTTCGGGGAAAAATAACCAAACTCTCCACCAAAACTGACAGACTGATAAGAAAAGATAGGGAAAAACCCCCAGGAGACAAAAGCAGCAACAGATACAAAATTATGACAATTACCAGTTGGTATAAAAAGGGCTAGTTAAGCATGTGCTAAACACTTAAAAGACACAAAGAGCACTTAGGACTGTTGCTTCCTCTGCATATCAACCTTGAAGTATTTAAGCAAGGTATGTTCTTGCTATAAGGCATGCACAGTTATGTGACTTAATTTTCATTTCATATAAATGCTTAACTGCATTAGCTTTCAGGTAATGATGGTGAGACCTGCAATGATTTTATTTTATGAAAGCTTGATTAGGCTTCTTTAGAGACTGGAGAACCAACTGACAATTTGTCCTTTGTTTGCATGTTATACATCAATAGGTCACCCCAAGGATGATATAAACCAGCAGACTTGCAAATAATTCAAGTATACGTGTGTGTATATACACATATATATTTACACACACACACACACACACACACACACACACACACACACAAATACATAGATATATACACACAGACACACACTACTGCTTGCCTCTAATCTTATTTTAACTAAATTTGAAAAGCAACAACAGAGTTTCATTGTAGATTTGTAACTCTGATCATCGTATGTAAATACCACTCTTGGAATGTCTGTCTAATTCTCCATACTCATCATTTACACATGCATTTGTTTTATTATTAATATATTGCAATGTCTCCATTTGTAAAAAGAAAGGGTATAGATTTGGATCAACAGATAAAAAGAAAGACGGCATTTTTGAAAGTCGTATCTACTATGTCAATGATTTTTTCTGACAAATGATATAAAAACCTATTTGCTTTAAAAGAATAGCTGGAATATTAAAGAATCAAAAATCTCTTCTGATTCATCTTAAAAGTAGCAGCAGTTTGTGCTGCTACATTTAAAGATGGGTGGATCTCAAATCTGTTCACCATATATTACAATACCCATTGTGTTTGTATCAGTCTTTGCTTTACACCATTTAATATTGCCTACGTTCACACGACTACATGAAGTATGTCCCATGTCATTTAGCTACTTGTTACAATATGAAGTATTATTATTTTCTGTTTATCTTATTTTAAAAAAAACTAGTTAATAAAGTCTATTGCAATGCACGTTTCAACGTTTAAAGCATCTTTCAATTACACTTTCCATAGTCACTACGTTGATAAATCTTCAAATAAAAACAAACAAGATAGTTTAGCATTTTTAAATGGTTTGACAAATCCCCTAATCCTAAATAAATGAAAATCCTTGCCTTGATAGGAAAGTATTCAGAAAGAGGCTTGTCAAAGCCACCTGGCACACTGCAGTACTCTGTGGGGTAGATAAGTGTAGTAGAACGAAGAAGATGGTGCAGTAGGTTACAAGACAGAATGTAACCCTGCTTACAGGTTAAGTGTAGGGTTTGCTGCAGAATCTTCACAAGCTGCTCCCTGTATGGCAGCAATTTCTTTCCATCCACTCGTGTAATCTAATCAAAAAGGGAGAAACATTCAAAGGTGAACTTAAATGATTTAGTTCGAACCAGGTCAAAAGCCTAATACAGTATATGCACCTGCTTTAACTATTTTTTTTTTTTTTAAAAAGGGGGTAAAGGAGGGATCTCAAACTGGCAGTATGTAGCAAGTACAAAAACAGCCTTTCTGCTGTTAGATGAAAACTTATGCATAAGTTTGACTCCTACATATTCCGACTCTGTGCTGTTCCCAACCTCCCAGGACTTTCAAAGCTCCATCATGTACAGAATTTCTGACTTGACCAACAGCGTCTTCCAGTTCATCTGAAAATCATACAGTTTGCTCTCTATGCTTCTTACTTTCTTTCCTGCAGCAGCAATCCCATTCCATCATTACTGGTGCTAGGGCAAATGGCTTTTAAAGTTTTATTGAAGTTGTATATGACTGAGTACATAACACAAGGTAAATATCATCCACTCCTGCTTAACATAAGCGTCTTTCAGCATCTTTCAAACAAAGGGTGAATGTTTGCTCCTACAGTAAAATATTTGTCTTTCAACAGCAAAGATGATTCAATTAAGGAACAGAACTGTGATCTTCATGGTACCTCTGACAAAAGTTGAAGGTTCCAGAGTAGTTCCTTATCTAGTTCTTCTTCATGCAAGACATCATCATCTAAGGACAAAAGTATTAAACACTACTGTTACCTAAATTGAAATGAAATGCTCAAACTGGAGGTTTAAATGATTTCAAACATTTAAGTCCAGAGTTTCAAATAAGCTACATAAGACATCTGGATACTTATACTGCTGTATATTTAATAACCACACACTTTTACCGGCAAATCTCACACATACATACGTGTTCCCACCCATCCAGAAGTCCCTGAATCCAATGTGATCAGAGAAAACTGATCACATGTAAATATTAACCCAGAAATCAACTTCTGAATAGGTAGGAGCCACCTGCCACCCCCCAGTGGGCTGCAAGCCCCAGGTGCCCTGTGTACTCCCCCTTCCCTCCCTACCTACAGGCTGCAGGCCCAGGGGCAGAGAACCCAAAGAGCCAAGCAGCAGTACAAGCAGTGGGAGAAGCAGCAGCCAGATGGGAACCCATGAGCTGCCAGTTGGACAGCCCCATGATGAACTACTTGCAAATATGCTTCTACGAAGCACGCCATCCAAGAAGTTTGTTAGACTGCTCTTCAAAAATGGTTACTCAAAACCTTTTCATTAGTTATCACAGCCCTCTTAAACACCCACCCCCACAAAGCACTCTTCTCAGTAAGCTACTTTATAAAGAAAAACAGATTGTTATTTTAAAGTATCAGTTTTACTCTTTAGATCAATAAAACACAATCAAAATGAAACTAATACAATACAATTAGGTAACTTTTGAACTTACTGATGGTAAGGTGAGTTATTACACTGCAGCAACGGGGCACAAAGAGCTTCAAAGACTCCTCAGGACGGCACTGAAAACATCATGACCAACCATAAATCTAAACAAGAAGACTTTCTGGAGCTACGTATTTTTCATAATCAAATAGTCTTAAAGCATTATTACAAATTAAGGATAAAGTGAACAAGAACATGGTCCAACTCAACTCTAGCTACAATTCAACCCAAGCTTTTAAGGCTTGAAATCTGGGCTCATAATTTTTTAAACACTCAGCAAACACACTATTATATTACAGAGCTGAACTCACAATCTCATAAAACTGAAATGATCTTATATCATCTTGTAACAATATATTTTAAGCCCATGTAAGAAAAAAAATAGGTTTCAAAGCTAAATCTTTTTTTTTAAATTTAAGTAAACAAGAATAATGTCTCACTTTTACTGCAGCTCGGCACATGTCAGCAACCATCCGACCAGCAACTCTTGTCTCAAATATATTTGAAACAGCGAAGTTAAAAACCTTTTCTAAGGCAACCTGAGTAGAATACAAAATACAGAAGTTATTACCTAATTAATGAGCTTTTGAATGGAGCAATGTCTTTTCCCATGAACACATGAAAGAGTGGCATTAATGTAGCAAATCATTTATTCACTCCTGTTCTTTCAAATATAAATACTTAAACAAAAAGGAGAACAAGCATGGATGTAGAACATCAAGAATAGAAGCTGTATGCATTCATTTTAAAATGAATATTCAAAAGGTTAATTATAAAAACAACCCGTGTCAATCATTTTGGGTATAGATTTTCTGAAGGAAGAAAAAAAGCTGCTGACTATCAGAATCCTTTGCGACTTTACTTTCATGGCTGGCATGCTAAGGAACATCTCTGTAGTATCCATTAAAAGATGCTACAAAGTTTGATGATGTTTGTAGAGATTTGCTCGATAATAAAAAAAAGCTTTCATTTTGTTAAAAACACAAAGAAAATAATTGTAACAAAAAATCTTGCAGAAAGGGTATTACAAAGTCAGAAGATGGAAATAACCATTAAGGTATTTACAAGTCTACAACAGAATTACGCTACAAATTTGTCTTTAAATGTTTGAAAACAAATAAGCCCTGGCCCAAGTTGATGCCACACTGGGGCAGTGCCTCTTGAATATTGTCAGAATGAATGCTCATGGATCTACCTTGGGAAGGAACATTGGACACTTATTGCCGAGTGCCCAGAAAAGGCAACAAACCAAAAGCTACAGAAAGAACAGGAAGCAGGCTGTTACTGTGCAAGTCCCTGAAGACAACCATCTTATTCCCCCTGTGTGCGGAAGGGGGATCAACAGGCCCTAACTTACTTCCCAGACTTTCAGACTAGGAACTGACAAAACCATCACCAACCTCTCTCACTTATAAAATATGTACCTTCTTTTCCTCACATCCTCCAAAGTTAGATCAACAAAGGGAAGAAATTCAAAGCGACATTTAAAAAGTGTCAGTATCAAAATAATTACATATTTCATCTAAGCAAGTAAGATGAAATACAAATTTAAGTTTTATAGCACCACAACACACTTATAAGATTTATAATCAACTAAAGGAAGACACTTTTAGGCACCCTGTATTCAAAGCAGCAGCTCAGAAAGCAACATATAAGTACTCAAACGATCTGCAATTTTAGTAACACAAGGACAAAATTCAACAGTTACCACAAGATGCAAGGAAGAATATTGAACACATGGATTTAACTTCATTTTGTATGTCAGCTTAAGCTATCCCAGTGCCTTCAGTTGACAGACATGTAGCCTTCCCAATATAGTGACTAAAAAGGGTGGTAGTACAGCAGAGTGCCTTGCAACAAGGTAGCAAGAAAGCTTGTAATAATTTGCACAGCGCAAACAGCCACCCTCAAGACAGAAGCAGAGGACAATTACGCTGTTTTAAGTTTACACCAATGTAGCTTTACTCCTAATTTTTGCACAATTTTTCTATACCAATTTAAATTATACAGGTACACACTGTGCGCCAAGGCTCTTAATTCCTCCCATGATTTAGTTTCTTGTTAACTGATAAGTATCTGAGGGTTTTGTGTATCACTAAAGGTGGCAAAGTTTCTAGCTTTTTTCCTTTGTTTTGCAACAAGTCTGAAGTGTTAGGAAGGGAAGAAACAAAATGGATAAGCACTTTGTTACAAGGAAAACCAATCCTTCCCACAAATAAAATAGAGACTTATTTCCCTTCCCCTTCCTCAAATGAACATTTGCACATACCTTAAATATATCTTTCGAACATTGGGTGAGGATTGTACTGAAAGTAGAAGAGAGGCCCAATTCCACTAAACTCTCCAAATGAGTCATCTTTTCAGTTTCAGTCTCTTCTCTAGTTTGTTCTAGCGTGCTGCTTTCTATGAGCCCAAAACATCTATAGAAGTTGATCAATACAGTAAGTGAAAAAAAGCAGAGGCTTGCAATTTAAGTTACTTTGGTTAAATTAATCTACAGACTTACCTGTCCATAAACTGCAGTACAAAATCCTCAAATTCAGCAGTAGCAGAACACAGCTCTCTCTCTACCTACAATTTCCAAGTAAAATAAGACAAAAATGGAATGTTTAACTTTCCTAATAAAATAAAATGGGCTTTATAACTCTAAAATTTAAGAACTGAAAGTATTTTTAAGAAGTTAGTAAGCAAGGACTCGGACTACAATACTAAGTTCTGTGTCAACCTGGGTTTCTCTGTAGCCACAGGTTGGAAGCCACAGTCTAATCTTCATACTGTGCTGCAAGTACACATGGCCCCATACTTTGGCTACATATCCACTCAGGCAAAAGCAGCCACTAAAATCCTGACAGCTAGCATCGCCAACAAGTTTATCTATTGGTGGTAACTAGTGGTAGATTTAGCAATATTAACATCAGTCCCCTCACAAGATGTTCCTGAAATCCTAGAATTTCTGCTCAAGTTGTACTTACTTGTATCATGGGTGTCAAACCCATCTGGCCCCACAGGTCAGATGAGTGGCACAGGGCCATTCTACAGGCCACAGCAGACCCTCAGACACACCCTGCATGCCAAATCCAACACATCTTGAACCAGCCAGAGAGGCTGCACTAGCTGCTGTCACAAGTGATGGCTGCGCCAGCAGTGATGAAGCTGATGCGCACTGAAATGGGCAGTGCGATTGCCAGAGTGGGCACCATCTGCAGCACACTGGGCCACCTGGTGCACCCTGCATGCTGCCTTTGGGTCAACTCCTGGACCCAGTCAGCACCAGGGGCCAGATGACAGGACTCTGCAGGCCAGATCCAGCCCACAGGCCATCTCTCTCTGATACCCATGTCTTACAGAGTTTTGAAAACTGCCATTAAAGGCCACAGTGAAGATATTAAACTGAATTTTTTGGCTTGCAGTTTGCCACAACACAGACTGATACTCAGTATCATGGGCAGTTAATCTCTACATCTCTGCATCCATTGTTTATGTCAAACACAGGAATAGCATTTTGAGGGCAAGTGCAAAAAAAAAGCTAGTCTAGAGGCCAATTGTCACACCTATTCTACACTTAAAAGGGAGCAACAGAATAAAAAATAACCAGAGAAGGAGGAAGAGGTGGTGACAGGAAAACTGTATTAGTTATATTTTATGTCTACAAAGCATTCTTACCTCTGAAAGATCATCTCTTTCTTGTAGTACAGATGAGCAATCTACCAAAGGCACTAAGGTAGAAAATGTTGCAATAAACTGGAATGTGATCTGTTGGGCATTTGAAATATATATTAATACATATTCCTATGTTATGGTACCAAAAGCTTATGAGACTTGGAAACAAACTATACGGGTTCATGCTGAGGCATTAAGCTTAACCAGAAAGTTATGCAGAAAACAGGCAAATTATCTTCCATTCCAGGCAGAAAATCTCTGTACCAGTTACCACTAAAACTAGTACTATCAAAAAAACTGAATTTTTAGTAAAGTCATCTTGTTATATATTGAATTTTGGGAAATATTTACCTCCTATATAAAAATATAAAAGCGTAAGAATTGCCATTTACTGGGTCAGACTATAGGTTCACCTTGCCCATCACACAGTGGCAGAGAGTAGATGTTGAAAAGCAGAGGGAATAGGATATGACCAGGGTTTTTTCTACTGCTCCTCTCCTACTTGTGACCTCCAGCATTTAAGGTCTAGGAAATTCTGATTCAGAAGCTGTATCCCAAACTCCCATGCTCATTAGCTACTGATGCACCTTTCCTCCAATAATCGGTTCAATCCCATTTGCAGATATGTTACAATGAAAAAAGTATGAAATTGTGAAAACCACCCCTTAAGATGTTTTGTATAAAGTGTTTACACTGAGGTGGTCAACCAGCAATATAATTGCCCCCAAGTGTGTGGGCAGCCTCCGTGTGTGGCACATGGTAGATCAAGGAGGGGCAAGCATCACAGTAACACAAGGGATAGGAAACAGAAGGCAGAGCAGAAGTGCAGGACAGGAAGCAAATCAATCAGGGGAAAGGGAACAGAGTGGCACTCTGGGACAGCACAGGGCTAATTTCTAGCATGCCTACCAAAAATTCTGCCCCCCACCACTGATTTACACTGTCTAAATATTGGCAGAAGTATTTGAAAACTCATGATGCTCAGGTTAGGTAGAAGAAGACTGGAAGAAGGCCAATGTGGTATCCATCTTCAAGAAAGGGTGGAAAGTAGATCCCAGGAATTACAGGCCAGTCAGCTTGACCTCAATCCCCAGTAAGATTCTGGAGAAAATCATCAAGGAGACCCTTCTGGATAAGCTGGCTGAGGGCAACATCCTAAGGGACAGCCAGCACGGGTTTGTTGCAGGTAGGTCTTGCCTGACTAATCTCATCTCCTTCTATGACCAGGTGACTTGTCACCTGGACAAGGGAGAAGAGACTGATGTCATGTATTTGGACTTTAAAAAAGCCTTTGATCTGATGTCCCATGGCCTCTTCATGGAAAAATTGGCCAACTGTGGCCTCGGCTACACCACAGTCCAATGGCTGGGAAATTGGCTCTGAAGTCAGACTGAGAGAGTAGTGGTTGATGGTAGTGAATCATGATCAGAGGGTAAGAGAACAGGCCTTATGAAGAGAGGCTGAGAGCCATGGGACTCTTCAGCCTGGAAAAGTGCAGGCTCAGGGGAACCTGGTGGCTGCTTATAAGTACATAATGGGTGTAACATCAGGACCTGGGAGAACTTCTGTTCACCAGAGCACCCCAAGGGAAAACAAGGGCCAACAGTTAAACTCCTCCAAGACCATTTTTACCTGGACATAAGAAAAATTTCTTTACTGTCCAAGCCCCCCAGGCCTGGAATAGACTCCCTCCAGAAGTGGTCCAGGCACCTACTCTGGACTCATTCAAGAAATGCTTGGATGCTTATCTTGCCGGGATCTTTTGACCCTAGCTGACTTCCTGCCCCTGCTGATGATCTTCGAGGTCCTTTCCAGCCCTATCGTCTATGAAATCTATGAAAATGAGCATATGGGCATCTAGGACCCCAAAAGCGCCCATTTTAATAAACAAAAAGCATTCCACTGATTTCAAATGGCTGTGTTATCAGATCTTTAAAAGGCAAATACATGCTGCCAGCCCTGAGTTAACAGGATGGGTTACTGAACTAAATATTATGCAACACAAGTCCATAATACACAGATTATCAGAATTCAACATATTAATAAAATGCTTAGAACTGTTCAAACACACACTATAGTGTTATCCAGTGTTTATAGTCGTTTTTTTAAGACTTTCTAAAATTAGAAATGGAACTTTAGCCTAAGATAGGACTTCAAATTCTTTTAACATATCTTCCATTTACTTTAATATTAATCTCAAAGAGGTCTCAAAGCAATTTAAAGGTAGTCAAATAGTACTTTACACCTTAAAGAATTAAGAGAGATATATGCTCACCATGCATTTGCTGAAGTCATTTGGATCCACGCCAGGCAATGCTCTCATCAACAGAGGTAACATGTGTGTTGGACCCTCAGGAAACCACTTGCCTCCAGATACCAAGCTACGAGCTACTCCAATTACACAGCTTAAAGTAGCTGTGAGCTGATGAGGTTCTGTCAATGTCTCCAGTGCCGGATATGTCCTATACAATTTCAAAAGAAGCCATATCAAAAATAGAGACAGGAATAACCTTGAGCTTCTAAACAAACTATAGTCAATGAAAATAGATATGCAATACCAAATGTCAGCTTCAAAAGTTTCCTTTTAAAAATCAAATCATTGATGGATAAGTTATGGACCATCCTAGCGAATTAGGCATAACATGACTAGCCTAGATCCAAGGCCTTAACATTTATATATATATAAAAAAAAGCAAGCTCACAAACGGAGTTTTAGGAGGCTCTCATCCATTAAACCTGCATACAACTAACACACAGTATTTACTCAAATCCAAGACAACTTTGAATGTAAAGCTATTCCTTAATTAGATTCTGTACATGGAAAACACATTAATTTTCCCTGTACAGAATATAATTATTGTCCTCAATTTGTTCCCACCCCAAACTGCTTTGGCAGCGAAAGTGATGGCAAAAAGACGAGCAGTGGAGGGGAAGCAGGCAGTGGGGGGGGGGGGGGGGGCGGGGTCAAGAAACCTGACCTGTGTACCTTGCCCCTGCTGCCTGTCCGCCTCATGATTTGCCCCTATTGCTGCTTTCCTCCCCCCTACAGAACCTCCCCAGTGTTTGTACCTCAGCTGCTTACCCCCTCTGCCATTTGCCCCATCCCTACACTTGACCTCCCTTGCTGCCTCAGAATGAACAGGGAGAATATCATTACTGCCTCACTTACAGTTGTCATAGTGTTGCAATGTTTACTTGATACATTTGTTTTACATAAATAAATGTTTTTATGAACTCCAGTCAGCATTTGATCTGGCATTTGGTCAGGCTAACTTTTCGAACGTTGTAAAATTCAATTGTTTTCTGTAGGAAGGAGCTGAGCATAAGATTTTTCACAACATGGGTTGTTTTGGGAAGGTGAATGTGCATGTGCAAGAGTAAAATGAGAAGTAACCCACTGGTAGGGGCCCAAAGCATTCCAGATATGCATTTTGTGGTTTGCCTGTAAAATCAGAAGCAACAGACTAAATAGTGTAATAACCTGTAATTATGCAATATGTGATCTGACACAGCACACTGAAAAATCAAGATACTATGAAGCATATTACACACCATGTGCCACTCACAATATGCATTATGCCTATATATACTTTTGCCAAGACCCTGAGCTGTGAAAAAAGATGATCAGTACAGGTCAGGGGACAGTGGTGCAAAGCTGGCTATGAGGTGCTCCTCAAAATATCTGGCATTGGTACCCTGAAATTTTCTAGTCATGTAAGAGCCATTCTAATTTATGGTAGCTATCAACCCAAAAGCCACATCAGTAGCCAGTCAAAACAACATCCTCTTATACACCACCACACCTTGACCAATCCAGATGCTAAATTCTAGTGTGTTCAAAAAGCTGTACCCAACCCAAGTATCCCCCCCACAATTAAAGAATTGTGCTGGCCTATACAAGTGCTCTAGGCACAAACTCTGAATCATCTTTTTTTTTTTTTTTTAAATTTGCATTGATCATCTTTATGGTTTCAATACAACTTACTTTTCAAGTACAGGTGGAATTACTAATTCAGGACGCATTAGTGCCAGATTCTGTAGGGCTTGGGCAGCCTCTAGACTTCCAGTTTTACTAAACATAGCCAGAAGAACAGGTTGAATAATGCATTCTACAAAGTCTGTAACATCTTGATCAGTAAGTTTATGGCTATCAGGCACAGGTGTAAGCCAAGTCATTTTTTTGTAACGTTCACGATGCAATCTTCTAACAACGCTACTTGGTAATCTTTGAAGTAGTTTCATCAACTTGTTCTGTTGAATATATAACCAGTGGTAACAGAATCAGGTCTCAATAATTAGCAGTGAGAAGACATCAGCAAGACCTGAACTTAATTCATACAACAGGCAGTTAAAGGAAAAAAAATAAAAAGGTCAGCCATAGTAGCTTAAGACACTTAAGCAACTACACAACAGGAAAAGCTACTTACTGAAAGGTAGTAAAATCTAAGTAACCAAAATGTGCAATGGAGGCTGATACACCCACCAGTACAGGCTACACTGTGTCACTCCTACTCATTTCTGTAAATGTCAAACACATGCTTATGTACTTTATTTTTCCTAGAGCTTTTGTACAGTGACTAAATCAGATAAATGGAAATTATTTACCAGTAACAGGAGATCTTCAATGGCATCCTCTGCACTCTCATGCTAGGGGAATATTCTGGAATACTTAAGCTACCCTTGTAATTCTAGAGGTGCTGCTGGAGAAGTCAGGCTCCTAACACCAGTGAGGGCAGTCTTGCCACGCTAACTTCTGCTCACTACTAGATACCATGGAGATGTCTGTGCTGCATGCAGAGGGTGCACTATAACTGCACTATACCAGCCAAGGATCACGCAAAATCCCAGAAACCCAACTGTAAGGGTATTAAAACACTGGTGCTCAGCCTTTGGCCCACAAAGCCATGCTATTCAGCCCACAGGGCTCCCCACGGGTCTGGAAATTTGGTTGCAAGAGAACAGCAGCAGCATTAATTGCTCCCAGAGCCATAGCAATTAACACCATCACTGCTCCACTACCAAGCTTTCAGCTCCACTGCCAAACTTTCAGATCCACAAGGAGCCCTGTGATGCAGATGACATGACCCCCACATGCCAGACTGCGCTGATGCATGATAATGCTGGATCGCACCTGCGGACCAACCCTATGCCAGACGTGGCTTATGGATTATAGAGGTTGAACATCACGGCCTTATAAGGCTCTCCCACTGTGTGGACTCTTATTTACCCAGAGGGTTAGGAAAGACATCAACATATATAGATCAAGAAATACCTATTCCCTATAACAAGGGTTAATAATATAAAACACTGTCTTAACTCAGTGGGGGCCAACCTCTCCAGCAGGTGGGCCACAAATTAGCTCTTCGCTTTCCCCCAGTGCCCCTCCATTGCCACTTCACTGCCTGATGTGTTGCTATGCGTACTTTCCTGTGCTTCCTGTCCGATCTGCTACTTTGCTTTCTGTTCCTTGCCCCCTCCCAGTCCACCATGTGCCAATACAGAGGCTGCCTGTACCACTTCTAGCAACTGTGCTACAAGTTGGCCAATATGCACTTGCACAACAACAAATCCAGATCACATGAATTCTCATTAGTTCACCTAAGTTTATTATTATCATTATTATTGTTATTATTATTATTATTAAATGTTAGCAGTAATGATAACATTATCTCTTACTTCAAAGAATACCATCCAGGGAAAGATGCAGATACACACAGTTCTGTTGAGAACCATAATGTTAAAATTTTAAACTCATATTATTTATATGTATATAGATCTGGCCCATGGAGCCATTTTATCTGGTCTCCCAGGATGGTGTTTCAGGAGTGTAGTAGGTAGGACTGATTTGCTTGGTTAATGGACAGCAGTGCAAGAGCAGTGGCAAAGCTGGGTGGGGGCAAGAGGAAGCAGTCAAATCTGTAGCCGAGGCATGAGTCAGGCTGGAAGTGGCTTCCAATTCAGACTTAAGCCCTGTTAAACCAGCACCCTGATGCAATAAAAGAAAAGGTTGTCTACTTCTACTCTATCCAGTACCAACATTTTATGCTATTTTTAGGTCTAATATTTAAGCAGTGGATTTTGTGACCCAACTAGCTGAGTACTAAACAAAAATTCATTCTACACTGAATAATCAAAATGAGATTTTAGTATATATTAGGGGTGCACCGATAGAGATTTTTTCAGCTGATACCAATGGCTGATATTTAACAAGTAGAATTCTGATTTAACTGCCAATGCTGGTAAGTCTGTTGGGGGAAAAGGGGTGATGGCAGGTGGGGAAAGGAGCATTGTGGGGGAGGGGGAACAGAGGCCTCCGTAGTGAGGGAGAGAGTGGGACTGGCACCAGAGCTGCAGCAGGTGGTGCCCAGCCAGGACGGGGCACAGGATGGAGCTACAGTTCATCCAGGGGGGTGTGGGAAGGGGAGGGGAAGCCTTTCCACCACCCTGGGAAGGCATGGGGGGGCGTGTGCTCCCCAGATGCGTGTGCGGGATCAGGGCAGGCTCTTCCTGCCAGGGGGACTGGGCAAGCGGTGCTGCAATGGGGGGCTACAGTAAATTTTGGGGTGGCTGTAGCCCATCCCGTAGCCTCATTTCTAGTGCTACTGCCACCTGCCCTGAGAGCAGCCTGGCACAGCCCCCCCACCAGGAACAGCCCAGCACTGCCCCCAGCCCCAGCCCACAGCGGCAGCCCACTCTAGCCCTGTGCACAGATCTGGGGGCATATGACCCCCCCATGCCTTGCTGGGGTGCATGCAGAAGCAGGAGCCGAGCCCCCACTCTCCCCCGACAAGTGACATCTGTCCCATGCTGCACCCTGGCTGGGCAGCACTTACCCCAGCCCCACTCCCTCCCTCACTACAGGAGACTCAGTTGGGTCCCCATCCACACTCCTTCCCTCCCCCACATCTCTTCCTCCACAGCTGACTTACCAGCTGGACGCTGCTCTCCATGCTGCCAGACTGTGCTCCTGGCCACCTGAGTGCTGAGCTGCAGCTGCACATGCACACAGCATTTATTGGCAACGTTAAATCGGCCACATCAGCCAAAAAGCTGATTGCCAATAACGTCAATTTTCCTTTTATCAGTGCCAATATGATATGGATTGATGTATTGGTGTACCTCTAGTATGCATTTATATATGATAGCTCAACAAAACTAGAGCATGCCTTACTAGTAAAGTGCCATTTAAATGCTAAAAAAAACTGTTACTTAACCAAAGATAAGGCTTTCGTGGGTGATTTGAAACTGACAGGTACAACAGATAATTGCAGTAAAGTTACTTTGACAAGTTGAATTTCATAGCTAGCACTGTACCCAGTTAAAATTTGTTGTATTTGCTCATTTTCTGGCTACTTTTCTATTTACCTTCATTATCACACCTGTGTATTTTTGGTATTTTTTTTTTTTTTTTAAGAGAAAATATATTCATCATTACTGTAATCTACTATTTACTGTAAGATAAAATAATTTGTAAGAAACAATACAAACACTGTACTAAAAATGAAGGACATAGCAGAGACATTTGTGCTAGAATTACATTTTCACTATAAAACTTAAAATATTTTTAGTACTGAAAAAAATCAGAGCTTTATACTTAATACTCACCAGCCATCGACCATTATTTGAAGGATGATAAAAGGATGCAATGCTACTGAATAACCCAGACAAGTGCTTCTGTACTATTTTGCTTGGTCCACCCTGTCCAAAACCAAAAAAAAAACAACACACAAAATGTTCACTAAATAGGATAACCAAGATGAAAAGAGATACTGCAAAAGATCTCTCTTAAACATTCATATTGAAATTCCTATATATATTGAGAATTAAACAAGATATATTTTAATCCATCCTTAAAAACAACATAGTTTTAAGATAGTAAAAACACAAACAAAAAAATATAAAATCGTATTTGATATTTGAATATCAGTATATCAGCTTCCTGAGCATGCATTTCCATTTAGAACAAGGCACCTACATAGAATGATTACTTTATTCCATGCAGTCATGTTGGCAAGCAATGGCATAATACTAGAAATGCTCTTAGCGTTGCCATCTATTTATACTCTTTGATGAAGCAACACAGCTCCAGGCCAGTGCACTTAAAGTTAGACTGTTCTCCCCAGTAGGAGAAGGGTCCATGGAAAATTAGGCCTGAAACCCTGTGTTGGGTTGTGACTTCAGTAATATTACAAATGTATTTTACCTTGCATTGTAATGAATTGACAACATTTTGGGGTAACAGACTTAAGATAAAATATGTGATTGGTTCCCCCTCCAGGTTGTAGTGGGTAAGGCACTTAAGAAGTCTAGTACAGGACAGTCGCAACTTACGTGTATTTAACTTACACGAATTCAGATTTACGCACTTGGCTGCTGGGGCTGGCAGCTGGGTGCTGGCCGGGGCATGGCTCATAGTGCGGTGCTGCATGGCTGGGGGGCTCATGCTCAGCTGGCCGCCTTGTACGGGCCCGGCGGCAGTGGCTGCTCGGCGCTGAGCACGGCGATTTCAGCTATACGCGCTGACTTCGGAACGTAACCCCCACATAAGTTGCAATTGTACTGTATTGAGTTACAAGGGTCAGGCATGGAGAGGCTTCCTGATAGTTTCAGTGTATTTTTATTAGATTTGTCATAAATTTATGACAAAATTTGATTGCTCGCATATTTTCCTGGTTTACTTTGATCAGCCATTCCCTCTTATATTAACACATTCTTTTTTGTACTTCTAAATGATTTTCTTCGAAGCTATACCTGAAATCAGTCATAGATAATTGTCGCTTCTGGGTCTAATAAAACAGGGCAGACTTCTCTTACCCCAAAAGTTATAGAAGCAAGGAGACTAACGGCACAAAACATCAAAAAAGCTAGCAACTGGCAGGCACACTTATTTATAATCACTGCTGCTTTAAAGGGTCAAAAAACCCACCTACAGCACACAAACATTCCCTCAAAATCTGAGCTTTGAGTAGGAAAGTCCCAAGAAGAGGATCTAAATCTCACTCATTCCTAAGAGTGAGAAGACCACTATGGATAAATCTCATCCTTGCACTCCATTTTTCATCACCAGTGCAGCTGGTAGCTTTTTTCCAGATGGTACTAGCAGTAGCACTGAAGTAAACCTCATGCTTAATGTTCCAGATAAATGGGAAGACATTACTTTTAAATACATATTAGACAAAAGGAAAGCCTAAGAAAAATAAGCCTCTGCAAGTGAACTGAATACCAAGACACTTATACATTCATTTTAGCTGTAAAGCTGCTAGAGCTTTGCAGTAACAGTTTTTGATACACTATAAAAGTAGGATACTAACCATCATGGCTGTGATCCACATTACTGCATGTCCTATATCATAAGCATTTGTTAAGTATCTTGGAACTACAACTTGATTGCTCCCCACAGGAAGATTCAAACTTCTCAGAATCCTTGTAAATATCTGTTTTAAGAGTAACTCAGCGTTAGTAAGAGCATTATAACCTACTAAGTTTCTTTACAATATTTTAGAACAGAACAATTATTCCTGTATGTTTTTGTTTTTTGTAATTAATTTACTAGAGTAAATTTTACCTGTGCAATGAAACAGCACATGTGCTTTTGGTCACTGGGAATCTACAGGCATTGCAGATCCCGCTCTTAGCAGTAGACAACAAATAAAATGCCAGCTCCCAGCAAAGGGTTACTCTGAGAAAGGCATTTTCACATTATGCTGAATTTGCTCACTAGAAGAAATATCACAACATTTAACACTGCAGGCACCAGAGAACTGTACACACATATGCATGTCTGATCACCTCTGAATAAAACATGCATCCTAGAGGCAGGATATAACTGAAAAAACAGGAACTGAAAATTACGGACTTAAACATAAAAAAGAAATAGAGAATATTTCAGTGACTTGTAAAAAGGCAGCCCAATTATTGCAAAAACTGATAAATCTCAAATCATCCACTAATAAACATACAGTTTAAAAGTGATATACTGCAGAAGTCAAGACATTAGTAGCTATCTGGGAATTATCCTATAGGTTTAATATTCAGTGAACAGTTGTCTATTTCTTTATGGTTAACGAACAGCTTCAGGCATTCTTTCAGGAAAAGATAGAATTAAATGATGAACAAGCAGCAGCCTTCACAAAAACCAGACAGAATTGGGGAAATGGTCTCCCTCTCACTCTTCAGCATGATTACATTATGCACTTAATTTAATGAAGGCATTACTCTGAACCTTTCCAGTGTCATTATTCAGTTGGATGATTTGCAAAGACAATGCCCTAGATTTTCCAGTGTTCAAATTATAATAAAAACATGGAATAAACCAAGCACCCCACTGTGTCTTTACTAACGCAAGATTTGGAAGGTCTGAAACAGAAATAACTCAATTTCTGAAGGGGTGCATAACACACATCTCAAGAACAGCTCCAGATGGGCAAGAAAACTAACACCAGATTTTTTTTTTTATTAAATAAAACATGTTAAAAGGCCACGAACAGCTTGAAATCAAACATCTGAGGTATTCAGAGAACACATCAAGCTCCACATTTCAAAAAGATACCATATGAGGCCCCATTCTTAAAAGGAACTATGTATTGCTTGTGCATGTAGAATTATTCATGTGCTTAAGTGTTGACAGGAATATGTCAATGCCCTTCCCAGTTAACTCATGCAACATACTATCTTCTTCCTAGATTATATACTGTAACAGTATGGCCCAGGTAGACACTACAGAAAATATTTAGCTTGGTAAGACTGCCAAAGATCTATTTTAGGAGAACCAAAAATTACTTCAACAAATAATCAAGGTTACCTTTGGTACATATGGATCCCAGTCTATGTAGCCTATGTTGTCAGTGGCCAAGCGAGCAAAAAGATTTACTAAATGCTAGGGGGAAGGAAAGAAAAAAACAAAAACATGTCAATATTTATTGCACAGAGTTTTAAACAGAAGAATCAGACTCCCTTCATCAGCTACCATGGAGGCAAGATGCATTTTCCCTCAACATTGGTATATTAACCAAATGTCATATATGCTACAATTCAGCAATTTAAATAAAAGTCTTATGTAAAAATTTGACAACCTTCATTCCCATGTTATTTCTAAATGCTTACAACTAAAGAAAATCAGGAAGTGAGGGGAAAAAAAAAGAAAAATGTATGTACACCCCGCCCCCCTCCTTGATTTCTCATTCACTACAAAATATGGAAGCATGGAATATTGTTATACTGATGGGATTTCAATTAATCCTAAGTCGCATCAACTGAAACAGCATTTGCAACCCCATAAACACTAACTGATTGTTTGGAACATAAAGATTTAAACAAACAGAACCACTTTTTTGCTGGCTTATTTAGTTAGATGGTGACAATTTGTTGGGAGTCATGAAATTACCACCACCTCCTATTTTCACATTAAAAAGAAGGATAAGAACAGAACAGCATTTGACTGCATCCAAATTAAATATGTTGGGTTTATTTGTAAACATGCTGAAGTGCTATAAACATGAAGCTATTCTACAGTAACTAGAAAAAGAAAATACTCACCCCTTCCCATTGTGGAAGATTTTGAACTGAAACCCAAAGGCCTATAAATTCATCAAACCAAAGCCTAAAAGAGAAGAAATAAAGCTGTTCATTTCAGCTTTGTTCCAACTTCTCTACTCAGACAGGCAAATCTTAGGGATGTAAATATTATTTTTAAAAATATTCACTTAACCTCCTGTAATTATATTGGTTAAATGAATAACCGAAAACATAGCTGCTGCTGGGAGCCTCTCCCAGCTCCCTTTGACTGAGGGCAGTAGGCAAGGCCAGCCACAAAACACAGCCCATATAAAGCCCTGCACTGGTAGGAGAGAGCACCTATGAACAAGCAGCTAATTGCTTAAGTGATGAGTCATTAGCAAGAATCTGGGTTTTCCTGTTTGCCATGGGTTTTTTCTCCTTTAAAGCAGCAGGCCTGGGCCAACT